TCCAACTAGGGAAAGGGGGGAGTCCTACTCCCGGTAGGAGTAGGACTCCTCCTGCGCGTCTCCTCCTATGGCCGGCCGCACCCCCTCCCCCTTGCTCCTTTATATACGGGGGCAAGGGGGCACCTCTAGACACACAAGTTGATCCTCGTGATCGTTTTCTTAGCCGTGTGCGGTGCCCCCTTCCACCATACTCGATAATATTGTAGCGGTGCTTAGGCGAAGCCCTGCGACGGTAGAACATCAAGATCGTCACCACGCCGTCGTGCTGACGGAACTCTTCCCCGACACTCTGCTGGATCGGAGTCCGGGGATCGTCATCGAGCTGAACGTGTGCAAAACTCGGAGGTGCCGTACGTTCGGTACTTGGATCGGTCGGATCGGGAAGACGTACGACTACTTCCTCTACGTTGTGTCAACACTTCCGTTGCCGGTCTACGAGGGTACGTAGACAACACTCTCCCCTCTCGTTGCTATGCATCACCATGATCTTGCGTGTGCGTAGGAATTTTTTTGAAATTACTACGTTCCCCCACATGCAGTCGGGGTAGGGGCAAGAGGACCGCGAGTTGCATCCTCGCTGGTCGTTGGGGGATGGCGAGCTACGGCGAAGGCAACAGAGCATGCTACAACCGGCGGCGGCGGGAGCTGGGACCTGGATGGACGGAGTTGCAAACCGGTGCCCAAGAGAACTGCCATCATGGATGGCGGTGCTGCTCCGAGTAACACCCGACGTCGCGTTTTTTTTGCTACACATGCTACAACCCGCTTCATAAATTGCTACGACCGGCATCCCATGCGGCTGCAACTGGCATCACGTTTTGCTACATCGCGTAGACGTGTCCTCCGTTTTGCTACAACCCAGCATAGCCAAATGCTACAACCAGCGTCATGGCAAGCTGCAACCGGAAGTGTGGCGAGTAGGAACCTGTGGCCAGCGACGACGAGCATCGGGAGCTACGAAAGTTGGTCATGGGGCGCGAAAGCTACGACCTCATGTACCTGAGCTGCAACCGCCAGGAAAAAAGCCACCACCGGCGGCCAATTTTTTGCTGCATTGATGATCGTAAACTTATGGCCGGCGACGACAGACGGCTGCAACCAGGCGACCAGGAAGATGCATCCAGCAGAAGGAGATGCTACAACCGGCAAGCGAAAAAGCTATGACTCGCGGACCATTTTGTTGGAACCAGCAGGAGACTTTTTTTTGCTAGCGGCGACGTTTTTGCTACAACCGTGATCGTGGATGCTACAACCGGTGACAGTGGGGTTCTAATCATGCGGCCGCAAGAAACTGAATCTTAGGGCTGCGCGGCGCCCGGCCAAAAATTGTCCGATCGACTGGTGCCTATCAGTCGCCTATAATCTTTAAGGGCGCTCCAGATTCAGTCGGCACGACAAGGCTTCATATTCGAAGGTTGGACCAAACGATACATCGCCTTTCATCCACCCAAATATTTGGTGTCATGAACATTTCAGGACACGCGCTCCCTTTTGTTGCTTCCCAAAAATTCTTGTGCCAACTTCGTAGCACGGACCATGATGATTTGGCCCCGGTCGGCGCCGCTGAGCCGTTGCTGGACCTCCCACGCTTCACCGTAGCACCATGCCTTCTTCTCCCGTTCCGACCGCGCTACCCTTATGCCCACGCGGCCTCAGACTGTTCGATGATTTGCCCAGAGGTTAATTTCTCGAACCTTTTCTTAAATTCAGTTTAGTGACTCATAGATTCATGTAGATGAGATATGATTCACATTATGTGTAGACAGATTCAATGGTGTAGCTATTGTTTTTTTTTATGATGATCCGAGCTCCGAGTCTGAGAGTGTGAATGATGTACGCCTATAAAGACAAGGTATATTTTATGGTTGATGAATGGATAACATCAATCCGAAGGAAGAGGAACATTTGGGATCATGGTTGGTCATCGATATTTGGATAGAACAGAATTAGAGGCCACGAACAACTCAATACTACTTTGTTGTAGTGACCTAACTGGCTAGTCATGGCGAGGAAAACTGCTCAGTTCTGCATCGACCTAGCTAGGATATCAACAATCAACAAGAGTACTAGGAGCAAAATCAAATTAAGGGAAATACACCTATCTTTTACCCCCTCCGTTCCACAATACATGCCTTTCATTTGTCAAAATATAGATGTATCTAGACATATTTTAGTATATAGGTACATTTATTTTTCGACAAATGAAAGTCAAGTATTTTGGAACAGAGGGAGTATCTGTTAGGCTTTTACTTGAGTCGTTTTAGCCCAGGAGATTAGTTTGTCCGTCTGTTATTTCATGTACACGGTAGCTTCTCATGGTGTCACACGTTTTTTGTTTCCTTTGCGTAGAAGTAGAAGTAGAAGGGTCGTGATGCGATCATGGCGGGTCGGTAGCAGTGTGTGCGTGACCATGATCCTAGTATTGTTGTTGAAGCATGCGATCATAACGACGTGAGCATGGCGTCTTGATCGGGCACGGCTGTTACGCAAGGAATAAAAAGAGCAAAATTAAACAGAAAAGCCACAAGTCAGTTGCACGGCACAAATTTCCATCGTGTTCTTGAGCTGTTGAGAGTTCGTCCTCGTGTCCGCGAGAGAGTTGCAGTTTGGCAACGACAGTAATCAATGTATTGTCGCAAAAAAAGAGAGACAGTAATCAATGTAGATCTGGACAGATTTGGACCTGTGGTGACTTACTTGTGCCATCTGTCATGGCTTGGTGAGTGGATAATCCTAGTATTGTTGTTGAAGCCAACAATGACAAGCCAGAGAATCTGCATGTCATGACTGTCAAGTCGATGCTAGTCTTGTGGTTGAAGCTCAATTTTTTTCTTCGGGAGAATTAAATAAAGCTGAATTATTTGCCGGCATGCTGCCCTATTTGAAAGCACTGTGCCTGTGTGCACATCCATTCACTTCAAAGTTCTTGGTCCCCAAGCACTTAGAGCATTTCC